TCTATTTTAAGCCCCCCTTTTCATGTGGCACATTCACAAGCTCTTTTCAAAAAACAAAAATGAAATCAAATGTTCCAATTTTTACAAATTTGTCTATACTTGTGTGCGCGTCACATAGTAAGTGTAACAACTCGAAAATTTAAGTTGTCTCCTAAATTTTATATTAATATTATTTAATAATAATATAATAATAATATAAGTATATGGAATAATATATCTCATTACATAGCTATATGTACTAAAGATATAATTTAATTTGGCCTTGGTTTATTAAAAAAAGATGAATATATTTTACTTGAAGGCCAAGGCACAACAATTAATTGTGCAAATTGTTGGCGAGAGAAAAGCGAGCCAGCTGTGCTGCCTAACAATAGGAGGGGTGAGTCATCAATTGGAAGGAATCATTATATGGGTGATTCATCACCCAGGTCATGTAGGGGGGGTTGTGTGAAGTAAAGCACAAAAGGGAAAGAAAAAAGAGAGAGAGGATCAAGAGAACCGTCTCGAGCAGCTGAAAAAAAATAGGAAGAAAATAGTAAGGATCAATATTAAAGTGAGTTATATTATACATTGAGTTACAATAATATATTTTACGTATGTTTTGAGTTACCATAATCTATTTTACGCAATTTATGTTTTATAAATTATATTAAAATTTTGATTACGTAGATTATTTTCTGACCCCTATTTACTTAAATGGAAACCCATGGATATGTTTGTTTAAATTTTAGAAAGTATTTGATAATGATCTTGTAAGCAATTATTTTCTGTAAGTACCACCACGGGAATCCCATGCCTTGGGAAACTTAAATAACCATTGGCCCCTGTCTGGCCATTTTGTGGTCCTCTGTTTGTCATGGATTCATAGACCCCTGTCCTGATTGTTACTCTGGTGACCCATGTTCTGTTCAGTACCGTGGTTATAGTTATTTATATAATTTCTGTATTATATGTCAAATGATTTCCATATTACATATTCTATATTTTAATATAAAGCTCTGTTTAGTCCCATAATTATCCATGGTCAGTTTTATGCCCTTATGCTCTTAATATAATATTTTTCACTCTGCCATGTGCTTGTAGTTGTCTACAACTTTCAGGTGACATGTCAGAGCCAACGTATGGGGTAGGCACAAAGCACTTTGTAGACATAGTTAGCTCAAACAATTTTAATTAAATAGAAACTCCAATGATTATTTTGGTACCCTCACTTAAATATTATTTTCACTCGCGTTTATTAATTTGTTCAAGAATCGGCCGTAGGTAACTTCAGTTACTAGCTATCACGATGCTTAACCCTTGGGTACAGGGAGCGGGTCGTGACAGTAAGTTATCCTAATAAATTGGAACAAGAGCATATAATGTAAATAAAAATCACATCATGATTAGTAGAGGCCAATCTTGATCGGACGAGCGGAGGTGCTCAATTCATGACATTCCCATCTCGTACTTAAGTTCCCGAGCCGAGACAATCTTGGTGATGACAGACACGTGGCCTTTGGCACGAGTCATGGGTTTCCTAAATTTCTCAAAAATATTTAGGTAACAAGTTTGTATTTGGTAAAGCAGTCTATTTTTGGCAATTTGATTCAAAATCGATTTTCTAAAAGATTTGTCGGATTTGAACTCTTTAGTGTTTTTTTATTTCACATTATACTTGTGAGATCAGATTCAGAACGGCGGGAGTCCGATACTGTAAGGCTATTCGTCTTCCGAAAGGAGCGCGAAAAGTCGAGTTACACCCATGTGAAGGTACAACCATAGTGCAACGGCTCCAAGATACAAACCAAGTGCTCACAGCCTTCCTCATCCGATGTTCATGTTCACCAGGAAGATATGCACGAGTCACGAATAAAAGTTGTTCAAAAATACAAAAGATAGAACGAACTATACTCCTCAACAAAATCTCAATATAGATTATACTCATGTATACTATTGTCTGTCTCTTATGTACCCTTCATCTTTAGAAAACATAAAAATATATTTAAGTGAAAATCTTATAAGAATTAATACTAACATTTAATCATTACATACTTATAATAATAAAACTTAATAATAACTTTGTAGCTGAAATGTTTAAATAAGCATCATCAAATAAGCATAAGACAAATATGCCACTAAACCAAACAAAACGATATCAATATGGAAAATAAATGCTAATAGAGAAGGCATAGAAAGCTATCAGACCAATAAGCATAATTTACCTTGGCTAGGTGCTAATTTTTGGCCTACTAATTAGTTTTGCAGGATGGCCGACCCCATCTTAGACACAATTGAAATTCCATATTACCACCATTAACAGCATCAGCATCTTGACGTCAAAGGTAATATAATACCTAAACCAGCACAAATTGCCATATTTGCCTTCACAACTTTCATGAACTCCAGATTCCTATTCTGCACACATATTTTCCGACATATATTATGAACAAAGGCTAATTAAAAGCGTTGTGTTATAATACATATAGGCCTATTTTGGGACCAATTTTAGTAATCTTAACTGTTCACATTTTAACACTTCATTAAGTGAAATATTTATGTAAAAAATCAAAATGATTGAATCATATTTGTTTGGGGATTTGGTCAAAGCCCACTCATAATAATAAAACTTTAATACATTAATGACAAACACAAAAAAAATTCATTGAAAAGTCTAATACATACCATTATTACTAAAATATTAAACTTTAAAATAATATAACTTTTGATCTAGAAGTAAATTTGAAATAAAATTAGTATTTTTGGAATCTTCTCATCAAAATCTATCTAATAAGATCCATTTTGACTATGAAATTCTTAAAATAATAATAATAATTTATTACCGTCAAAATTGATGTAAACAATAACATGTCACTCTGTCTCACAGTAACATGTTACTTTGACAAATTGTTTAAGAAAAAAAGAAAAAGATATTTTACTTTATTCTTGTTCAATTACATGCCTCCTCCGTAGGGGGTTTATGAAGCAAAGTATATTGGACTATCATTTTCATCAAACAAGAGTTAAATTGAGGGGTCTTGACTAAATTTTTCTATTTGTTTTACAAAAATAAACGACAAAAATAATTTCAAAAATAACTATTCATTTTTTTGAAATATAAATTTGATTTAAAAATATAATTACCGATATCCGTTCATCTCATATTTTAGTAATTTTGTACAAGGGAAAGTGATTGAGACCCTCTCCAATCACCACCCCTACATGTACGTGGGGGTTGGTGATTAGAGGAGAAGGAAAAAAAAAGAAAAAGAAAAAAAGAAAAACTGGCCAATCAGAAAGAGAGGGGGTCATGGGGGTGCCCCCTTGTGGCGGTCCAAGTCATTTTCCTTTATACAAGGATTGCAGTGTAACCAAAAAAAAAAAAAATTCAAATTGAAGGGTGTAATGAGTTAAATTAGTGGTGTAAATAGAATTACCCTTTCCTTTTTCAAGAAACTAAACTTATTCTAAATAATGGTGTTTTATGATACTTCTGTTAGTTTTGATTGAAAAATTAACAGTAACTATAACGCCCTCAATTTCATAAGACTTGACTCGTCCATATTCATTATACACTCCAAATATCAATTGTATTAATCATCCGGAAGTGATAAATTATCTCTAACACATCGTTAATCATATTATAGTAAATCTCTACTTTCGATTATATTTCATTCAATTCATTATAAGATTACAAAAGGTAAATTACATGTGAGTATACATTCATAATCTTTAAGACTTGAATCTATAACATATAATGTAATAACTATGAAAGTAAATTACATCCAAACATATGTCCTATAGGCTTATAAATACTAATGGACTTAGGCAAAAAAAATCCCCAATAAAAAATGGGTTATTTTTCGAGTTCCATAACTAATTATTTTATTAGTTTAAAGACAATTAAAACATACTTGTTAATTTGAGGACACAATTTTTTTTGGATAAAATTATCCTTACTGTAGTTTTATTATTCATTTACCTTTGACTTCCATCAACAATTATCGATTGTTGGTGTCCATCGTTGATTACATGTGACCTCTTTCTAATGCAACTTTATAGTAAAGTGAAATTTCATTGATTGTCACACAAGGTTAGAAATTTCACTATCTTTTAAGTAGTGAAATTTCTTTGACCAATATCACTAAAATTGCAAAAGATTGGAAAATTTCCATTATTTGGAAATTCAATAAATAAGTGTATTTATTTTTTTATAAGTGTACTTTTATTTGGGTTATATTACCTCTTTATTTTTTTAACACATTTTTTCTTAAAACGTCTAAAAATGCACTAAATAAGCAAACTTCAAACAACTCTAACGTCAATTAAATTTTCATTATATTACTGAAATTTCACTACTAATTCAATTAAAGCTTAATATAAAATTTAAATGTCTTTATATTTACAATGAAAGTTTTCACAGTGAAATTTCATTGGTTAAGAATATCTTATAGATTAATTAAGATACTAGTACATGAAAAGAAAATTTTCACTAAATTCTCCTTTAATTTAGTTGTATTTTATATTTTATTTCCATCCTTAATTATAGTGGAGTCTAAAATCACGAGAGAGTAAAATAAAATTTTGAAAAGATTGGTCTGGTGGTCTAGATGTAAGACATGAAGGTGTGCATTCTCTATGGTTTGTAAGTGCATATAATTTTTTTGAGGATAGGAGTAAAAGTCTTGACTTTAATTAAACACGTTCGTGAATGATGAAATTAGTCAGCCTATTTACTAGATATCGAATTTTTAAAAAGTTTTAAAATTTTGGCCTTTCTATTTTAATTTTTAAAAAGTGTTACATATCTCAAATAATCTGCCAAACAACTTACATACACATAAGATTAACACAAACCCACATATATATATATATATATAAATCTCACACCTAAAAATAAAAAAAATAAAAAAAATAAAAAAAAAAATTATTTAAGATGAATAACATCACTCTTAATTTTTTAGTTAAATTCTATTTAAAGGTAGATGGGCCCACGGGGCCACGGCCCTATTTTATTTGCATCGGGTCTGGTGTTTTTGTTTTAGGTTGGGTTGAGCTCCCTTGTCCGTCGGTTGTCTAGGTTTTCATTGTCGTTCTCATATCATCTGTGCTGGAAGGTGCGTATGGCTTCCGATCTGTGCAACGAAAGGAAGGATTCCAAATGGGAGATTAGAGATTCACCGGCAAAGAAGCAAAGGTGCGAGGATTACGGTTCACCACCACCGCTTTGTTCATCGGCAGAAGAAGAAGAAGAAGAAGAAAAAGAAAAAGAAAAAGAAAAAGAAAAAGAAGACCCTAGATAAAAAATTGTAGTCTATAACTACGATGATTCAGATGTGGAAGACGACAGTGATGGAATGCATGAGTTTACTGAAAGGGAATACCAAGAACATAATCGACAGATGACTGAAAGCGATGTAAGTGTGTGTTTGTTTTTGTTTTTATTTTTGTGCGCTTTGATTCATTTATCTCAATTTTCTTCTAAATCATATATTAAATTACTACTAGTATTATTATTATTGTATTATTAATTTGTGGGCTTTACATACATACATATATACATATACAAACAGGGCTTTGATGTGATGTCGTTCCCACGCTCCTTTGCTTGCGGTACAACGACCCCTCTTTCTAATTTCAATGAGATTGCCGACGACCTCAAAGCTTTTTCCGAATTGGCTCTTAAGGAATACAATGAGAAAGAGGTGTATTTCTTTATTCAATTGAAGTTTTGTTTTGTTTTGTGTGTTGTGTGTGTGTGCGTGTGTTTTTTATTTTTATTTTTATTGGGAATATATATATAACATATATACATATATTAGACAATGTTTTTAATTAGCTTTGTTGTTCATATATATTGTAAAATATGTGTGCAGCATACGAATTTGGAGTTTGTGAAGGTTGTCAAGGTAAACAAAGCGGTTGTTGCTGGTTTTTTGTATTATATTACCTTTGATGTCAGGGATGCTGCTGCGGTTGATGGTGGTACTACGGAATTTCAAGCTTGTGTCTGGGATGGGATTGCCCACACTGAAGTACTCATTTCTAGGCTGAAAACTAGCACATAATCGAGGTAAATTAACTACTTTGGGTATATCATTTGTACCTATGTAATGATCTTTATTGGTCTGGCACCTTTATGTTGCTTTTATATCAATTATATTCCGTGTTGATATCAAGTTTTGTTTGCTTTGGTGGCATATTTGTCCTAATGGAATTGTGTGGTAATTGATCGGTTCAATACCTTTCTGTTGACAGAAAATCTGTGTTTAATATGAATCGAGCTTGAAACATAGGCTGATTGGGCTGGATCAATAATAGATGGGAGGAGGGACTCTTTTTTTTTTTGGGTGAATAAGAGGAGGGACTTCAATCTGTTGTTAGGTACACTTGTTTAGGGTGTTGTGTTGCAGCAAGAAATGGGTCATACTCATTTAGTTTTGTAGGATTAGGGACCTTAGGAAGGAACCAACCAAGTGATTAGAGTAGAGGTAATTTCTTTCAAGATAGCATCACCAGAATTGAAAAAAAGAAAAGAAAAGGAAAGATGTAATAAAATAAAATACGTTGTTATAAATGACAGGCCAAGCTATCTTGAAGAACAAGGCACTATAGCCATTGGGGCCAGGAGATTTCTCATCTTTGAGAGAGAACTAGGTTTCTCTAATCCCTTCAATGGCAACATCCATGTCCAGTTTCTGTTTCTGTGCATCATTTAGCTGATCACTTTCAGTACAAGTTCATGTCTTCTATGCTTGCCCCAGCACTGCCTCCATTATGGCCTAGCAGGTTCTGAAAATAGGTAATAATCTTAGCATTTACTTGGTATCATCAGTAATGGTAACTCCATCATCCCTTGTTATACCCATAATCATATTTCTGCCCCTTCTTTGATTGACAACTTGAAAAATAATGGAGTGTTTTACTCCTTGCCGACGGCCTGTGCACTCCTAGGGATTAGTCGGACTTTGATCCAGACATCCCATTGCCAATCAAAATAAAAAATAAAAATGAAAAATAATGGAGTGTTTTGGTCCCCCAAATTGAGCCATTGAACTCAAGCCTTCTGCTTAGTATGCTGTCCTCATTCCTGCACAGCTCATTAAATATAGTTGTAGCTCTTTTCTCCACCCCAATCAAATCTGCATCATTGGGGTTGGTATCAAAACTTTTATGAACTGCCTCAAATTTGAGATCTAACTTCCTCCACCTTCTTTGAGATGTCGCCATATCTAAATTGGCTTAGCTTCTTCAACTCAACTTTCAGCATTTTCAGCTTTTGGCATAGACAAAACATGGGAGTGCCTAGAACATGGTTTCTCGAAACTCTGGCAACATAACCAAGAATTGAGGGTGGTCAGCCCAACAGTCGAAAAATGTTAAGGGCTTCTTTTGCTTAATAGGGGCAGGCAGCACTTTTAACCAAGATAGGGCTATGATGGTCACATATTCCCGCAGGGAGGAATTCTACCTCAGCCATCGGCACTTTCATGGTCCAAGCCTCATTGATGAGAGGTCTATCATTCTCCCGAAGCACCTGACCATTTGTTCGTGTGAATTGCTTTCCTCGATATTTAAGATCATCGAACTCAGCCCTCACAAATCAGTCATTGGAGTTGTGCATGTACCTGGGCCACTTGACAGAGCCCCACAAACCTACCATGAGTGCTGGTCATTCATGCTAATGCACATTACATTCAGTATGTCTTGATCCCATAGGATCCATATTCTTTCCAAAGTGGATCATTGTAATTGGACACCTTTTTCAGCTTCTATGTAATAAATTCAAAGGCCATATCCTTATTTACACTTTTGACTTTAGTTTCCGACTGAGAAGCATGGACGCGGCCGCGGACATGCAAATTTTCAACATGAACAAACACGCGGACATGCAAATTTTCAAAAATGTAGGACATTTTTATTATGACATTTTTTAATATTATATTAGCTGTTGTAGGATAGTTTTTCTATATAATTTGTTTCATGTGTTAGGAAGTGTTTGACGAGTGTCGTGTCGGTAGAAGTGTTCATACTTCTTCGATACACATATATATACAAATTGTAAGAAATATAGATGCACTAGTATACATATACATATATCCAATTTGTATGTGCGGAATGACAAGGGAATCCCAAAATGCAATACATGTGTTATATACAAATTATACTTGGGAAATAGAGAGTTACATCCAAAACCAGAATAAGTGATGCCATTAATTTGAAATGGGTACTTTTTTGATTGGCACCGGAGTGTTCGGATCAAAACTTAACTAATCCCCAAGGGTGCACAAGCCCACAGCAAGGAATTTTTCGCAAGTGCACCACAATTAATTCAAAAGTTTTGTTCCAGTCCGATGGTCTCAAGGAATTGTTAGCACCTAAGAGGTTTCGATCCCTAAACCTTGGAACCTTGGAGAGAGGACACACCCACCTTCCCCCCTCCCCCCTTCCGCCGACCCAAGGTCTTGCCACTAGGCCAACCCTAGGTTTTTTTTGAAATTGGTACATTGTCCACAAATGCATCATCAAAAGTAGAGTGCTGATCATTATAGTTGGGGAAAATGTTACATAAGAACTCTAAGGTGGTGTTTGTTTTGAGGGATTGAGGTATGGGATTGGACTATTAGTCCATTGTTTGGTTCAAAATTTTTGTAGCAGACTATTAGTCCCTCTGGATTATTAGTCCTAAATCTATTGGACTATTGTGTCCCATGTGGGGTGGGGGTTGGGACACAAATGGGGGATAAGGGGATATGGGATTAGGTGGTGAAATGACCATTTTAACCATGTACTATTTAATTATGTATTATATTTAGTAAATTCAATAAAATTTAAATGTCTCAATTTAAAAATAAAATAATTTTATTTAATTTTTATTGATGCTTTATTTATTTAATTTTTTAAAATAGTTTTTTATAGATATTTTATTTTAAAATTTTGTTTATATTTTATTTTATTATTATTTTTTAAAATAAATTTATTTAAAATTTTAATTAAAAAAATAACATATATTTTATTGATATTTTATTTATTTAATTTTTTAAAAATACATCTATTTAATTGTGTAAAAAATAAAATAAAATAAATTTTTATTTAATCTAGCTAAAAATGATTAAAATATTAAAGATATGTTTAATATTGCTATTACTTAGTAAATAATTGAAAATGGTAAAATAGTCATTTGAACATTTATCATTCTCCATAATATCCCAAACAACCATAGGATTCATATCTTATCCATCTAAATAGTCATCTTCTGACATCTAATCCCATGACTAAACAAACATAGGATACAAATCCAATTCAACCAAATAGTCGGGGGACAATGAATCCCAGGACTAATAGTCTGAGGGATTCCAATCCCCCCCTTATCCAGTCCGTCCAGACAAACACATGCAGGGTTAATGATTTCTCTGTTGAATGAATCTAGGAAGCAACTGTACATTGGGTGGGGATGCAAATAGAGGCTTTTATAAAGGAGAAGGCTGGACTGGAAGTCCTGGGACAAGGTCCTTGGTGTGGATTTTTTGAAGAAGAATGGGAGGTAAGAAAGCAAATCAAAGAGGAATGACGAGGGAGGTGAGGGAGGAGGACGGACATGGCAGGGGAAGATGAAGACAACGATTAAGTTTGACTTGATAAATTTTTTTTCATCCTATTCTCTTAACAAGTGCGTGTTTCACAATATCTATCTGTATAGATGGAAAATATAATGATAGCACTTTAGTACCAAAATCACATGGATGGTATTTGGCTATTTTTAAAAGGCATGAGATAAAGTGCTCTTGGCCATGCCACATGGGGTAAAATGGATCATGTCAAAAACAATATTCTTAACGGAATTAAAGCTCTCAGACTAACCTTGTTTTTTTTGTTGCCACCAAATTTAGTACAATGTGTATCTTTGGACTAAACATTAGATGAGTATTGGATGATATAGCATGACTTCACAATAATAAAGTGATTTTCTCTCTTGTCAGGTATGTATTTGCCAGTCTTAATTTGGTCTTGCCCTTCCTTCTACAAACATGAAATCAGAATACATAGTGATTAATTTAAGATTAGAGAGTATGTTAACATTACATATGGTGGTGGCCTTTTCTTTCTTGAATTTTATTGATGAGTTCATGGGTTGCTATTCACACTTCCTTCCCCTTAGGACCTTTTTTTCCAGCAAGGTGGTGGGTAGGGTCGAGTAAAAGACATCACTCCATGAGGAACTTCACACTCTTTGTATCAGAAGCACTATTAATTTATCATTAATAAATGAAAATGACCAACTTCAGCGCCTCTATGAATACTTATTTGTTTACTTATTCGGAAAATAATAGATTAGTCCTACTCTTCCCATGGAAATACAGTTTAGTCCTATCCTGTTTTTATTATGACAATTTAGTCCTACTTTTCATAAATATTTTTAGAAAAGTCCTATTTTTCATATATTCCTCCTTTACCTTTTAAAGTTTTATTATGAAAACGCCATACTAGAATTTTATTACATCAGCGTTCTCTCTATACCAAGGTTTTCAAAGGCGCAATTGAGGTGCGACTTGAGGCGCATCTTGAGGTGAGGTGCAACAAAAATGCACAGATGCGTTCTTTTTTAGGTGAGACTCCAGCTATGCACATGCCTCAATCACAGAGACGTGCGCATTTCTCGCGCTTTATGCTCTTTTTATGCATCCGATGGCGAGGCTCAAGCCTTTGAAGGGTTAGATTTCAAAAATAAAAAACGGAAACGATAGAGTATTTACCTTATAAGTCGATCTTCTTCAAATCAGAGTCCCAACAACTTCGAATTAGTCTTTGAATCTTCTCCAACGAACTAGGGTTTCAAGGTACGAAGTCTATCTCTGTCTTTCTCTCAAGTTGAGTCTCTCTCTCTCTCTCTCTTGTTGTTTCTCTGTTTCTGTATCGTCTCTTCAAATATCTATAGAGACAGTATTCTTTAATTATTTATTTATTTATTTATTTATTATTATTTATTATTATTATTATTAAATTAATTTTGTATTTAATAAAAATTCAAAAAGGCTTACAACTCCCCTCAACAAGGGTAAAACGCCTTTTTTTTATTAAGTCTTAGTCGAGTTGAACCAAGTGTGTGGATGGTTAATTTATGTGTTATTTATTAGCACGTTGATTGTTTGTTAACAATTAATTTTGAGTTTTCTGCTATAACGACATTCTTTTTCATTTTTATTTTTTCTTCAGCATATCTATGTTATGTATGGTTTCAAATTTATTCTTACTGTTCATTTCAGTTTGATACTTCCCAAATTTCTCGTTCAATGCAATAAAATTCATCAGCTGTCCTTCTATGAGGTTTGTGTTTGTAATTTGTGTAATAACAATCTTCAACTTTTCTTGTATTTGGTGTACTGACTAGTCATGTTTTACAAGAAGGTAGTTTAATGACATACATAGACTTAGGGCTGAGCAAGAAATCCGTAAAATCTGTAATCCGATCTAGTCCAGTCCAATCCGATAAGTTTGGATTGGTTTTTTGAATCCGTAGTTCGTTCCAGATTGAAGAATTAAAAATCCGTAGTCCACAGATTGGTTCCGGATTGAACCCCATGGTTCTGAATTGGAACCCGATCCGGACCGTATACAAATAGTCTATATTTTTATTATACATCCTCCCCATAATATCTTCTCTTATTCTATATAAAACCTAAAGTTAAATCTAAATCTGTATAATATCTTTTTTTATTACTTTTGTTTGTTAGTTTAGTTTTAATTTGTAATGGTCTAAATACTTACGGTTATTTAAATTCTAGAACAGTATGTCGCTATTATAAAATAACATGTTGCTATTGTGGAACTAGTATAACGTTATGTTTATGTTTTTATGAAATTAGAGTGTTATATATATATTTTTGTTATTTAATTATGTGAATCTGTGGTCCTAAACCGATCCAATCCGTGTTTAAATGGATTGGTTCGGATTGGTTCCATGATTTAAACGGATTGGATTGGTTCCACTTTTTCAGGAATAATAACGGATTGGTCTTGGTTTTACCCCAATCCGGTCCAATCTGGGTCATGCTCACCCCTACATAGACTAGCCTTGGCATTTACAAGCTGAAAATGTTTAGATAGCCGAGTAAAAGTTGAGGATACAACTTGAAATGATTAGAGATTCTGAGAGCCAACACCAATTTGGGTTGCCCATAATCTAAACAAATGACTGCGCTATGCTGTATCTTATTTTGAATAAAATCTATACTAATAACTGGCAAATATAGAGTGGGTGAAGCAATAACTGAACACTAAAAAAATTGATGTTGCAAGCGCTTGCATATTTGCTTTGATCACATATAAAACTATACAGCCATAAAAGTGTTTTGTATAATCCAACGTTGGTGAACAAGTGGTGGCTTTAGATGCCTCTGTTTTAAAGCTGATCGTATAGTTTGGTTACTTGCAGGTGAGATTGAAGATTTCACGAAGGTAATATGCATATGGAGTCCGAGTCAGTTGTTGGAAAGGTGTGCTTCTATGAAACAAAATGAATATAATATTAGAATCTTTGTACATGTGGTGGTAGGTTGTGTTGGTAAGGTTTTGTTGACGTCAAAAACTTTGGATATTGACAATTATGTTGTTACTTGATTTAGTATATGTCTAGATTAATATTCTAAGCTAATATCTAAACTAATATTTATAAAACAATGTCGTCCGATGATGTTTTGTTTGACAAGTGAAATGTATGACACATAACAACTAGAGTAGATTGCTTGTCTAAGTTGTATTTTAACTTTAAACATGTAAAAGAACGTAAGCCCAAAGCATCCTAAACAATGGAGATGCTCGATACGCATGCTGTTAAATTTGAAAGTGTGTGAGGTGTCTGCAGAAGTTGTTTCAATGTGATGGAAGTCAAACAGACTGATGTCTGTTTACTGTGCCTATGGCTGGTTGGTGTTTAGTGTGAAACAATTGTGCCCACATGTTGTGTTTCGCACGAATTGAAAATGATCTGTTTGAGTGACTTCAGCATAATTATCGAATTCCCCCCTTTTCGCATATTTTGTTGATAGTGCATTGCTTGAGAATTAAACCCTAGGCTCAGTTGGGAATCTCATGACTATTTTGAGACTATTTTGCACATTGTTGACATCTATAGTGCAACGACGACTCAAATCAATGTTTATGAGAGGGTGAGACTACTTGAGTGGTTTGTGAAGTATCGCATTGATCTAGATGCATTGTGCAACTGTATTTCCTAAGGTGATGTAGATAGATCCTATGGAGTGACTAACCTTATTAGTAGGAATGACAACGGGGCGAGGAGTGGTGTGTTTTATAGTCTGTCCCTGATCTTCGATTTTGATTTTTTCCAATACTCGTTTTATACAACTACCCGTGCGCCTAACAGGGTTAAAACCCGACCCCGCTTCTTCTGTTTCAATTTACTAAAGCAAAAAACCATTTCTACTACTTGTTTTTACAAAGAAAAACAAAAATTTAAAAGGACAAAAAAGTAAGATAAGATAAGCCAATTAAAAGAAATATTTTTTTATTGAAAAGATCTCACACTAGGAAAACAAATTAAAATAATAACTAAAGCCCGTTTCTATTGCTTCAATTTACTAAGGTCTCGTTTGGCAAGTGGTTTTTTTAACCAAAAAGTCAAAGTCACTAAAAAAATCAAAAAGCTAACAACTCATATCAAAAAATCAAAGATTCTTTTTTTTCTCTATTTTTTGCACATATTTTCGTAAAAGTCAAAAAGTCATCCCAAACATACTGATTTTTTTTAGCTTATATTTTAGCTAAATAGCTTAAAAGTTATTAAATTAGTCTGTTCTCAAATGAGGCCTAAGTAAAGCAAAAAACCGTTTCTACTACTTTAGTTTAGAAAGAAAAATAAATAAATAGATAGGACGAGTCAACTAGGGGCATGTTTGTTTGAGCGAACTAGATAAAAGGGAATTGTAATGCAACGGATTATTAATCTTGGGGTAAATAATTCTTGGACTATTTAGTTAGAAATGATGTGTGGCCTATTTGTTTTGTCATGAGATTAGATGTCATGGGCTATTTTTACTGAATCTCATTTTTCATTAGGAAATTATGAAGAATGGTTACTTTTCAAAGGATCATTTTGTCCTTTTGAATTGTTTACAATGACAATACTAAATTTGAAATATATTTTATTTTTTTATTTGAAGTTTATTTATATTATTTTACTAAGATCATTTTTAATTTTGTTTAAATACGACATTAGAATTATATTTTCATTTATGATATTGCTAATACGAAAGGGGGAAAAAAAGAAGAAGAGAAGACTAATATATCATGAGATTAATTTATACATATTTAATGATGTGTAGCCCATATTTGTTTTGTCATGAGATTAGATGTCTAGAAATGATTATTTTAGTGAATCTCATGTTTGATTAGGAAATTATGAAGAATGATGACTTCTCAAAAGACTATTTTATCCTTTTGAATTGTTTAGAATGATAATACTAAATTTTGAATTTTTTTTTTTATTTGAAATTTTTTATTTTATTTTATTTTTTGGGGGTGGATATTTATTATTTTATTTTATTTTACTAAGATCATTTTAAATTTTGTTTAAGTATAACATTAGAATTATATTTTCATTTATGATTTTGCTAATACAAAAGGAAAAAAAGAAGAGGAGGAGACATATCAGATTAATTTATACATGTTTAAAAAAACAATTAAATGAAAAAAATAGATGCTATGTATTATTTTTCTTTTAAATATTAGAAGTATATATCTTTTTATTATTTTGCTAATATAAAAGAAGAAGAAAAAAAAAAAGATTGTTATATATCACGAGATTAATTTATACGGGTTTAAAAAACAATTCAATATGTTTATAAAAATAAAAGAAATAAATGTAATATATCTGAGGGTCAATTTCATCATTTAACTATTTAATCTAGAGGTTGGCTCAATCCACCTATTTCTATCCCATACCCCCGTCGCTGCTTGAAAAATGATTACGACCTATTACGGGAATCAGCCGATACGGTTGCGATTTTCGGTCACACCGCGATACCGATGGGTATCCGTAACGAGACCTAGTTTTTCCGGTATGAATCGGCTGGTATGCTACGTACCGGCCGTTTTTTAAAACTATGGATACCATTGGATTATGAGTCTTTAGTAATTCTTTTGTAATTTTTTGTATTGAAATCTTAAATATTTTCTTTGAAATAATGTGATTATAGAAACAAAAACAATAAAGTAGAATTTAATATTTCCACTGTCAATTTTAGATATCACTTGGGTTACTTGTACCTGTTTGTTTAATATTTCCACTGTCAATTTTAGATATCACTTGGGTTACTTGTACCTGTTTGTTTGTTTGTTTGTTTGTTTGTTTTTTTTTTTTTTTGAGTTTTGAGTTAACAGAATATTATGATTGTATTGTTCTTTCTTTCTTTTCTTAAAAAAAAAAATTCAAATTCAAATTTTGGTTGTGTTTTTGAAACATGATTCTACACCTACATTTGCAAATGATGTTTGGAACGAACTCTGCAGAGAACTCTGAGATAGGCGCGATTTTCGGAATTTTTTTTTTGCAAATTTTGTCTAACCGGTCGTCCCATCGGTTGATCGAAATAGTGAAAATTTTTTTTTTTTCAATTGATATGGTAATTTTTATATATTCGAAAAAAACATTTTCTGAATTTTTTAAAAAAATTTATGTGCTTTAAAATAATTTTGAGTTGTATGTTTGATTATGAGTTGTAATTTTTTGTATCAAATATCAATTGTCACATCAACAATTCCTTACTCAATTCAAAACTCTTTACCAAATAAATTTTCCACACTCAAATCATAATTTCAAACCTCACAAACTCAAAATACAGCTCATACTCTCAAATTATATTTATAAAACTTTACCAAACGCAACTTAAAATTTTCATTGTTTCCTCCGTTTTATTTTCCAAATCCCAGTTAAAATCATGTTCTAATTTTAATCTTGGGAAAACAGTTACCACAGTTTCAAATTTCAATGCAGCTTGTGATCGGTTGGCCAAATTCTTTGCACCAAAGTCAAGGATTAGGGGCTTGTTTGATTGGGGAACTATAGTATAGGATTTTGGATTAAGATTATTAATTTATTAGTTACAAATTTTATTATTCGGATTAGATTTTCATAGTCATTCTATGTAACAAAATTGACGCATTTTTTAATACTACGACTAATAACGTAAAACATATATATAATTAAGATTATATATTATTATATCTATTGCAAAACAAACGTGGATAAAGCCTTGATAATACAAAATCTTACTATGTGGTGTTTTGGAAAGTTAGTAAAAAGCTGGTGTTTTTAGTTTTTTTAGTTTATTTTGTTTTTTTGTGAGTAAAAAATGTGAGAGGTAATATGATTCAAAATGAGTAAAAAGCTAAAAATTGACTTTTTAATTTGTTGCCAAAGCACCCATATCTGTGTAGTTTTTAAATATTTATGTTTGAGTATCTCTTTTCTATATAAAGCTTTTTTTCTCTTACTTTTATGTTTTATTAACCCTTTGGTATTATAAATACTAGCAGCAAATTTGTGCCACACACGGAATGAAAATTGTCATAATATATAATATAGATGGTGTGATATGAGGTGCAATTTTTTTTTGTCATAATAAAAAAATTAATAAATAAGCAGCTTAATTATAACTGCATGGGGCCAACTAGTGAAATAAAAAAGTCAGAATTGTTTAACAACAAGTTCTTCCAATGGTTTAGGAAAAAAATAAAACTATTTTGCTGAAGTGTCCAAACCGATTGATGTTGAAGAATTAGTGAATGAGTTTGTGGTTAGGTGTGTAACGCCACTTTAATCCAGAGTGCTCAAATCTTAAAAAAAATAAAAAATAAAAAAATTCTTTTTTTTTTTGTTTTTGTTTTTGTTTTTTTTAAGGACAACACTGGACTCCCAATCCACCATTGCGTCAATAGATTTCCAACAATAGAAAGGATCTCAAGACTTTTTTTAAGGGTAAGTTACATGAAACTAACTTAAAGTTTAGAAAAAAATATAGTGATTTTTATAATTTTGACATAATTATATAAATTTTTCTTTTAAAAAATTTAAAAAGATCAAAATTAATGCAAATGGTTTGAAGGCGCAACACAACGATATACAATGTGAAATGTACGTTTCAATATACAAGAGATGACAACATTATTTATTTATTTATTTATACGACTAATAAATTTTTAATGAAAATTGAGCTAATTGTTATATGAATTAAAATCTTAAGGGAGCCCATTGTAGTTATGCTAAACTTATGAGATTTACTAATATTGTAAACTATTAAGTGATCTCTAGACCAATGCCTCTTAAAAATGCACCATTTTGAAAGGGCCTGTTTGGAAGGTGATTTTTTTAAATATTTTTTTATTTTTTAGTTAAAATATAAAGTGAAAAAATCCAATATATTTTGAAAAACACTTTTGTGTTTTTCTTGAAAACAGGCAAAAAATAAAATGAAAGAGAATGAATTTTAAACTTTTTTATGAGTTGATTTTTTTTAAAACTTTTTGACTATATTAGGATTGTTTTGGAAATATGTTATTTTAGTAACTTTCACCTTTTTGACTAAAATCTGAGGTGAAAAAAATGGATTTGGAATGGCTGTTGTGCAGTCCAATGGCTCCAATTTGGGACCCATTTGGATGATCCAAATCGTTCACATTTTAGAATACATCGAGTAAAACATACTTGCAAAAAATTAACTTAATCAGATATCGTTAACCCTTTTGTCCACTCACATTTGTATTCATTTTAATACTTCAAATCACAATTGACATTTATTTGTATTCATTTTAATACTTCAAATCACAATGTTTATTTGACCTTTTGATTGTATTAATTAATTTGCAAATGTACCTAAAATAAAAATAATAATATTTTA